CTTTTGAGAATATTTGATTCTATTAGAAAAGATTATTGTATTTGTAAACCAGAGGAAAGCTTTTAAGATAAAAGGCATAAGAAGTTAGTAACAGTTTGTTAAACATAGGCAAAATTCATAAGTTAGTAAACAGAGTTTGTGAAACACAGGCAGAATTCATAACATGGATTAAGATAAGTATTTATAGTAAATAGAACATGTGTTACAGAAAGGAAGAGGAGGTCTGAGATACCCAGTATTCATAGGTCAAACATACATGAGACATCTGAGCACTAAATATTTCCAACACGTGAACTGCAGCATCAGCATAAAAGGGTTGTCAAGTTGAGAACCGAAGTTTTGTTCCACAACCAAGACGTTTTTTCCATGAATAACTCGGTGGAGAACTGAATTGTTCAGAATGGGAAATGTTTGAGAATCAAGGTTTGACTGTACATGATTATGCAATAAAACACCTTGCTCTTCCTTAGGCCAGCAGGCAAAGTGCAGCTATTGACTAGGCTTGTGCCTACCTCTGCTGAGCAAATGTGTGTCATAGTTTGGATGCTGGTGGGGGCTCCCTCTGCCTGCAGCTCTCTATGCTCAAACCTTTGGTCTTCAGGACTATCAGGAAGAAGACTAATGTGGACAGGAGAGGGGGTCATGAATATTGGTGTGATGAAAGATTAGGTAGCATGGTTCTTCCACCTGGTTTAGAGCCTGTTCTATGGTGACTATTTGTCCGATCTCTTTCCCTCTCTTCTCCCATTGTTTTAAATTTACTTAAAGATGTGATTCAAGCATTTTAATTATGGTCTGTGAGCCCTTCTGCTCTGTGACCTCTGGCGATCTTGCCTGGTAGTGTACTTGGAGGCCATTGCATTTCCCACATGCTAATAGTTCATACTAAAATATGTAATTCATCTGGAAAGAAGCAGGTTGCTTTTGTTTCCTTTTTCCTCTTAGGAATGTATAGTTTGCATATAGTTTTAACCATCCTAGGTACTGAATTATCTACTGTGATACTTATGTATTCTCATTACAAATTCAGTCCTCAATACTTAGAATGCCCCATATGCCACTTCTATCCCCCCCATTTGTGTACTCAGTAGCCATCTACTGAGTGCTCACACCATGCCAGGCACTATCCCAGACTCTGGGGACTGAAAGGAAAAACGTGGTTGATCCCTGCCCAGAGGACAAAAGCTTCAGTAAATTGCTTACTGCATGCATTAGTAGCCTGGGATGGTCTGGGCCGCTTGATGACTTTAGGAAAAGATAAGATTTGCATTTTTGGACAAGAATAAAAAGGAATTTCTAGCAAAGGGAACAGGGTACTACTATCTTGCTATCTCAGTTAAGAAAGACTTAGCTGCAAAAAACAGAAAATAACTATGGCTATCCAGAGAAGGTGGATCTATGACAAGAACATGGGTGTCTGACAACCTGAGGCAGGAAGAGAACCAGAACCCAGAAAGGTGCAGGGTGTAGCTGTGGCAACCTCTCCCTCTTGTCTCCACACTCCCTGTGTTTTCATTCTTTCCTCTGCAGACTAGCCTCTCTCTCTTCCCACTCTACATCTACTCATCTCTTTAGCTACTCACCCATTATGTGCCAGACACTGTTCTAAGTGCTGCATAAATATCCTCTCAGGGAATTTACATGCTAGAGTGGAGAAATGACTGTACATTTAGCAAGTTATACAGCATATTAGGTAAGTGGCATGGGGAAACAAGCTGTGGAGGGAAATGCAGATGAGTTGCAATTTTAAATAAGATGATTTAGGAAGGCCTGGTTGAGGTGACATTTGAATAGAGACTTAAAGGCCCTTAGAGAGTAGGCATCTGGGAGAGGGTTCCTGGAAGACGGAAGTAGCACCTGTGAGTGCTCAGTGCTGGGAGGTGAGAACAAGGAGGCTGAAGTAGCATGAGCAAAGGGCAGAGGAATAGAGGCAGAAGGCAAGGAGGTGGGTGTATAGGGCTTTGCAGGAGATAAGGGAGCCCCACTGAAGGGACTTGAATTGAGGCAGTGACAAAGGTGGTCTTTTAACAGGACTGCTTTGGTCACCATATTGAGAAGAGACTAAAGGAGTTAGGGCAGCTCTGCCATGTACTAACATACCAATTTACCTCTTTCTCCTTTAATTTCCTCAATGTGTAAAAGCAGGAAATAATAATAGTCTTTGTTCATAGGGTTGGTATAGAGATTGAGCTCATTTATGTAAAGCACTTTGAACAGTGCCTGGCATATAATAAGCACATTATGTTTTTGCTCATATTATTACAGCTCTAATCTGAAGTCTTAGAAGCATGTAACATACAGGATAGAAAAAACTAGGCATTTTTTCATAATTTCACTAATTTCTTAGAGAAAAGTTTATGGAATGGATGATACTGTTCTTCAAACAAAGCTTTAAAGTGCTCCTAAAAATCTAGAAATTGAAAATGGAACTGATTTCCACACACACTCTTGGTCACACCCTATTTACACGTTTGTGGTTCAGGGTTGTAATTCAGTGGGGTCCTAATTAAGAGCTTATATCACACTAAAAGGTTTTTGCATAATGAAGGCATCAAAAAAATGGAAAGTCAACTTATTGAATGGGAGAAGATACAAATGATGTATATCTAATAAGGGGTTAAAATCTAAACTATGTAAGGAATTCATACAAATTAACACCCCCCCCCAAAAAAAAAACACCCAAACCCCAATTCAATAAAAAAATGTGCAGAGGTCCTGAGTAAGAGACACTTCTTCGAAGAGGACATATAGATGACCAGCAGACATGAAAAGATGCTCAACATCACACCTGTCAGAATGGCTATCATCAAAAAATCAGCAAGTGCTGGCAACGATGTGGACAAAATGGAACCCTCATGCACTGTTGGTGGATTGTAAATTGGTGTAGACACTATGCAAAATGGTATGGAGATTCCTTTAAAAATTAAAAATAGAGCTGCCATATGACCCAACAATACCACTTCTGGGTATCTGAAGTAAACAGAAACACTAATCAGCCCTATGTTTACTGCAGTGTTATTTACAATAGCCAAGCTATGTAAACAACATAGATGTCCATTGATAGATGAATGGATAAAGAAGATGTATATATACAATGGAATATTACTCAGTAATAAAAATAATAAAAATTTTGTCATTTGTGACAACATGGATGGACCTAGAAGGGATTAAGCTAAGTGAAATAAGCTAGACAGAGAAAGACAAATACTGTATGATTTCACTCATATGGATTCTAAAAATAAGACGAATAAACGAAACGGACCCATATATATAGAGAACAAGTGGATGGTTGCCAAAAGGGAGGGGGGCATGGGTGGGGAAAAGGTGCTGAGCTCCCTAAATAAGTTAATGCCATTAGAAACATTACTGAACACAAGTCATGTGTGGAACTAATCACAATAGAGCAGAAACCAGTTCCTTTATTTATGATTTTTTAAAAATGTATGATGGGTGGGAGATGGAATAAGTTATATGGCAAGGTGAATATAAATATTCAAATTGGGCAGATTGTGAAAAAGGGAGAATTATATTACACGGTTCCTTTGGTAATAATTCGGAGACCCTATTTTATATTTTATGATGGACTGAACACGCAGAACTGCATTTCGGTTGAGGAATGACACTAAGGGGAAGCATCATGTAGAGTTAAGGATGTATGACAGACTTTATTTCAACTAACAACTCTGCCAAGGACTAGGACTGTAGGAAATTTACTTAATTTCCTGTAGTTCAGTTTCTTTAAAGGGCAGGGGGATGATCATGCAGGATATAATTTAAGGTTTGAAGCCTGCACGTGATAGAAATGGATCCCTAAATCCAGCTAGCTGGTTAAAACAAGTTGTGTCTTTGGTTGGCGACAACATGGATGGACTGAGAGGGTATTAAGCTTTTCAGCAGTCCTCCATTAAGTTGAAGGTCTGGCCATTCCAGTAGGAATTGTTCAAAGTTCTTAGCCATTTTCAACTGTGTTTAGAATCATCCATGGTAAACACTGATATTATGAGGCTAGGGAGGAGCTGCTGCAAGTGGAAAGTTTTAAGAGTATGTGCTTCAATTTCCTTTTCACTAAAGATTGTATTTATAAGATTTATCCGTGTTGATACTTGTAGGAGATGAAGAAGGGACATCAAGGATGACACTCAAATTTTGGTGTACAGCAGCTGAGTGGTGTGAGAAAGCCATGGAAGAGAAGTAGATCTGGAGTGGGAGTGGAGATGGCTTGCGGGCACTGGGTCACCTCTGAGGCAGTTGTAAATTATATCGATTCTGGCACAAATAACGCCCCCCCCCTTTTTTTATTACAAAATCTTTTATTATAAAATCATAAGCATGTAATTCTGTAACATATTATCGCACAGATGAAACGTTCAGATTAAAACTATAAATTATTACACCCACATTATTACTCTGCCAACCACATTCAAGCAGGCGTTAACTTCTGCCGGACCCTGTATTTAACCCACCCTCTTTCCCCCTTAAAGGTGCTTCTCAAGTAACCTCACTCTAAAACACCGAAGAGAGCCTATTGCTAGCCTGTGGCCATCACATTCTCTGCAGGTAGAAAGTGTCCCTTCCTGTGGTAGGCAAACAACATGATGGGGCTATAGTGACAGTCCTCCCGGATGGCCGGCCGCCGGCCTGTAGTTACGCCTAGTAACGTGTCTCTCCATGAACGAGATCTCTCAGAATCCAGGGTCAGACGTCCTCCTCCCGCTTCGGTGTCTTCCACCACCCGCCTGGCCCAACTCATTCAGCCTCTTGCAAGACCTGAGTCAAACTCTGGGCTTTCGGCATTTAGCCAGCCAGGCTTGTACCTGGGGTAGCCATTGGGGCTGATACGACTTGCCCACTACCTGCTCAGGGGACTCGGCCTCCGCAGACTCCCGTCTCAAGCCCCGCCCCCACACCCTGCTCCGCCCCACGTCCTGGCCTGCTTCCCAGGACGCAGAGCTGGTGGTGCGACATTTCCGACATTTCCGGTGCTGGACTCCCGCCCTACAGCTTGCGCTTCCTGGTAGGTGCCGACCTGTAGGAAAGCTATTTGGGTGCTTGGTAATTATTGGATAATTATTTTGACTTTTTGGAATTATATAGAAGGCTTTGCTGCCGTTTGTTCTTTGTCTCCTGGGTCCAGGCGGGAGCTTTGGGTTGCATCGTAGTTGCTCTTGTAGTCGGGCTTTCTGTTTTCCTCAAAATAGGTTATGAATCTTGCGGAAACCTTGAGCTCTTGAGGCAAATAATTTAGTGCTGTTTAGTTTCCTGGAGGATTTATTCTTCATCTCTTTAAAAATCTCGGTATCTCAATGACACTTTGAATTCATAACTGGGCGGGATTCCAAGCCACCGCTTTTTATACAAATTTAATAGTGTAAATGAAACGAAAGGGGGTATATGATGCTTTCAGTGTTAGCCTCGCTGGATGTCAAATGCATTTCTTTAAGAAATTAGGAGTTACTTTAACAAGGGTGTATATAGTATCGTAATGTGTTTCTTTTTTTTAATTTTTAAATCATGTTTATTCTATTACAGTTGTCTCAATTTTTTCCCCTTTTCCCTCATCCACCCATCCCACCCCGCCCCCCACTCCCAAAGTCAGTTTCCACACTGTTGTATGTCCACGGGTCATTCATAACATGTTCTTTGTTTAAGTCCCTTCTCCTTCTTTCCACCATTGCCCTCCTTCCCTATCCTCTCTGGTCACTTTCATTCTGCTCCCTGTTTCCATGCCTGTGGTTTCTTTTGTTCATTAGTTAATTTTGTTGAATAGATTCCACTTATAGGTGAGATCATATGGTATTTGTCTTTCACCACCTGGCTTATTTCACTTAGCATAATATTCTCCAGTTCCCTCCATGTTGTTGCAAAAGGTTGTTCTTTCTTTTTTTTAATACAGATTGATTTTATTTATTTATTTTTTAAAACGTCAAGATCCATGATAAAATATTAAAAAATTTAAAGTCATTATAAAGTCTCAGCAATCAAAACATGACACCAGCACAGAAATAATCAAGCAGATCAATGAAATAAAATGAGCATTCTAAAAGCAAAAGTATATTATCTGTTGTATATATCGTAATTATGACTTGAGTTTTTATGCATTTTGTCCTTCCTCACCCCCACCATAACTGTGAGTTGAATGCAAAAGTAAATAACCGTTTAAAAGTTTTACAAACATTAAGTATTGAAATAGTTTGATTCTTTGAGCAAAAGGAAAAAGCAGCACCAGTCTCCCCTAAAAGGGACAATTAAAATAGTTGAATCAAGGGCACAGATGATATTTGCTTTCTGATTTTGTAACGCATAACTTGGTTAACTCTTCAAAAGGTTTGTGTAGAGCTGGTTCCTGTGATTGCTGTTTCCTGTGGGCCTATGTTATTAGAGTTGAGATTATTACAAAAATGATTGGTTCAGCATTTTTATTATATATATTATCCCATTTAATGCCCACAACAGCCCCAGGAAGTTTGCACCATTGTTATCCTCATGGTACAGTGAAAGAAATTGAGGCTTAGGGAGGTTGGTAACTTGCCGTTTCCTGCTTAGTTACAGAGGGGTGGAGCTGGAGCCCACTTCTTTGTGACTGTTGCACTATTAACCACCCTCTGACCCAGCCCCTCCTCTGCAGGCACAGACCTGGTGTGGTCTCCGGTGTCCTCTCCTGCCTAGACCGAGTGAAAGAGAACAATGCAGAAGGACTCCGGCCCCCTGTAAGTGCATAATGAATGGGAGTGGAGTAGCCAGGAGCTTCTCAGAACCAGTTTTTTCCCCATCTGAAAAGGGCTCTAAGAGTAGACTGCCAGGGCAGTACTGAGTATAGTATGATAGACATGCAGGCCAGGGTTTGAGTCCAGTTCTGCCACTGACTAGTTGTGTGACTTCAGGTAAGTCATCTAACAGCTGAGTTCCATTTTCATTTCTACAGTGACAGGATTGTTCTGTAATGATGATATTTTAGTCCCGTGCTATGATTGTGGGGTTTTTGTTTTTGTTTCTTTGAACATGGTTGGCACTGATTTCATAACCCTTTTTTTCAGAGTGCCTTTACATTGGATTGGCTTCGGCTATGCAGCACTGGTTGCTTCTGGTGGGATCATTGGCTATGCAAAAGCAGGTTTGGTTTGCAGTTACTTAACCTCTTAAGATCTTCACATTGTTCCTGGTGAAGAGTGAGTTTCCCAGGATCCCCAAAGTGCAATCTTATTTGAGTCAATTTTGCTTTAGATCCTCTATAGCTTGTGTGCTGGCTTATTGCCAGTCCTGTAGCAATTGCTGTGGGAGCTCCTCCTGCAGTGGCTCTTCCTGTACTTGCTGTTGGGTTATCTGGCTGAGCTAAGCCAGGCTCCTTATGAACTACTTGTTTTTGCCTCTTCATCTGAAGATGCTGGGCATGGTTGGTAGTAGATTGTTATTATCAGTGACTGCCATACATCATCAGCCTTGACCCCAGTCTGCCTGACATCTCTGTGCTCTCCTCTTTAAGTAGCAGGAAACCTCAAGTGTTCACATACTCATTTTTTGAAGTTCCTCATTAAATTAGGCAGGGATATGTGAGAGAGCCTGCTCATTTCTACTCTTTATCTACATCCCCACCCCAAAACACATGCACACACACACACAAACACACACACCAGAATTTTAATATTCTTATTCCCCAAATCTTTTTTTTAAGTCACTGACTCTATTCCCCTCTCCTTTTGGGATTTGCCCAAAGTCTTGTCCATGGACAGTTATAGTCCTTGGTGGGTTAACCAGGCCCGTATAGGAGCCCTTCTTCCTCCTTCTCCTCCTCCCCCTCATTTTTTTTTATATGAGAAACAAAAATGCAAAATTGCTGAGATATCAGACATTTTTCCAATCTGCTATAATACTACCACTATGTACAAGAGATCTGATGTGTACACATATAAAAATACAGTATGTGTTGCCTATGTGTAGTACATGTGTAAAACATATAGCATTCAAACGTGATATGGAATTGATTTCAAAGGTGCAAACAGCAAATACAAAGGCATCATAGTTTTTCTTTTGAAAAAAACAATATGAAGGTACCCTGGCTGGTGTGACTTAGTGGATTGAGCGCCGCCTGCAGACTGAAGGGTCGCCGGTTTGGTTCCCAGTCAGGGCACATGCCTGGGTTGTGGACCAGGTCCCCAGTAGGGGGCGCATGAGAGCCAATCACACATTGATGTTTCCCTCCCTCCCTTCCCTTCTGTCTAAAAATAAATAAATAAAAGCTTTTTAAAAAAAATTAACAATATGAAGGCAATAAATGAATGGAGCCCCAATTGCCATAATTTATTGTTTCTTAAATGGGTACTTTTATAAGCAGTAGGAGCCCTTTTTAGGTGGAAGTACCCTCCCTATTAGAGGAGAGAGGAATGATGTGTTGTTATCCTGATTTCTCTGGTAAGTTTGCTAGAGCTGTTTAGCTAATTCCCCAAAGCATTTTCGTGCTTGAGAATTTGTTTGTCAACTGAGTTGAGTGTTCTCCTTGCTATTTTCCTTTATCAGGAAGGGAAGTCTAGTGGATTCTGTTAACGAACTGAATGTCTGACGTTATAATACAGGCATGTGTTTGCTTTCCTCCAGGTAGTGTCCCGTCCCTGGCTGCTGGGCTCTTCTTTGGTGGTTTAGCAGGCCTGGGTGCTTATCAGCTCTCTCAGGATCCAAGGAACATTTGGGTTTTCCTAGGTATGTGAGCTTCACTATCTTCCCAGTCAGTTATCTATCCAGAAGACTCTACCGAAGGTTTGGTGGTATGTGTCAGGTTGTTTCTGCCAAGTCCTAGGGAACTTTTTAAATGTGGGGTTGGGGGGTTGTGCTGGTTTCTGCTTACGTACAGAATATGGGAAGGTTTTCATACTTCATGAATTTAGATTTACCCAGTGAAATTAGTATTAAACTTGTATAAAACAAGTATATGTTTCTCAACCATTGTGATTGCCCACTAAAAACTGTCTGTTTGAGCATCACTGAAGGATCACGTGTCTAGGTTAAGTTTTCATCAATATTGCATTTTCCCCATTTTTAAACCATTAGCCCTTAAGCAGTAAGCTGAATGTGTAAGACATAGGCCTTGCCTTCAAGGAGCCTGTACCTTAATTGGAGACATGAAAAGTGACCCTCTGGGGTTGCTGAAGTGCCCTGTGAGCAGCATAGACAGTGAGAAGGTCAGGGAAGGGATGATTACTTATTAGCAGGGTGGCTTTTGGTACATTTTTATTGAGCTCCACCCATGTGTCAGACAATCTGCTAGGACTATGTGTTCCTTACTGTCTCCACAAACCCACAGCATGAGGAAACATGCAGTTCTGGCCCTTACTAGTATGGTGGGGAGAACAAGCATGTTAACAGAGTGGTCTGTACAGTTCTGCCTGGGCTGGGAAAGGAAGTCAGTGACAGCTGATTTGGGGTGTGCTGGGGAAGGAGGAGTTGCCCAGCTCTCAGCCCTGCCTAACAGCGCCCTCACTGAAGCTCCAGAATGACTTTCAGACTTGTTCCCAATTTGTTCCCAAAGGAAATTCTCTTTTCCTGCATTACTGAGGAAGTTTCTTAATTGATGTCCTTGTGTGCTCCAATATCCTTGCAGTTTGTTCTCTGTGGTACAGATGGAATTCTGTTTTCAGAATGCAGCTCAACTTAATGTTCTTTAATGGCTTCTCATTGCTCTTAGTATGAAGACCACAGTCCCTAACATGGCCTTCAAGGCTGTGTATGATCTGGCCTCTCTTCCTTGCTAGTCATACCTTGATTTCTGCACCATACTGGCATTTCACCACAGGGCCTCTCAGCACAGGGCCCTGCAGATATTATTCCCTTTGCTTGAAATGTGCTTCCCTCACATTTAGCTCATTAACTGCTGCTTTCAAGTTTCTACTCACTTCACTTCCTCAGCAAATCCTTTCATGATCTCCCTGTTTTTTGTATGGCATTCATTGTACATGTAACACAGGTATACTAAATTTTTGTGTGGTTCTTACAAATTTGTTCCATCAAACTTGACAAACTGTAGGACAAAAGCTTCTTGATGTGTTCCCCAGCATCCAGTACGTGCATGACATATACAGTAGGTATTTTAACAGATGTTGAGTGGGAAGAGCATACAGGGTAAATACTGGGTTGGCCAAAGAGTCTTTAGTTTTTTCCATAACAGATGCATTATTTTCATTTTCATGAGTAAGTATCAATTTGGTTATTTGAGTATGTCAGCTGTCTCCCAAGTGGTTGTTCTCAGTTAAGGTCTCAATTTGCTTGCTATCAACTTCAGCTGGTCTACCCAACTATGGAGCCTTGTCCAGTAAAAAATCTCCAGCATGAAACTTCTCAAACCACTTGTGACATGTTCAGTCAGTGACAGCAGCTTCACCATACACTGCACAAATCTTTTTTTGTATTTCAGTTGCCTTTTTACCCTTCTTAAAATAATAAAGCATAATATGCTGAAAATGTTGTATATGAAAATCTTCATTATTAAAATGGCTGCACAAAAGTTCACCAATTTTGATGCTTCTTTTTAAATAAATGCACACGAATATGACAGCTGTCACAATACAATCCAACGAAATTGTTTTGAAATAAGTTAAAGACAAGTGCTACTAGAGCCATCTTAAGGAAAAAACCAAATGCACTTTTTGGCCAATCCAATAGAATTGTCAAGAAATAGGAGGAAAAAACCCAAAAACAGTTTGGAGAAAATTAAGAAATTTATGTCTGAGGAGTGGTAGGAGATGAGGCAGGAAAGGCTGGCTGGGCCCAGGCTGTGAGGGCCTTATATTCTTGTTATTTGTGCTTAAGTCTCATAGGATGTGGGTGCTCATGAAGCTCCCTGAACTGGGGAGGCAGGAGATGGGGTATGGCCTTGCAAGATGGGTAGGACTTCGGTCTGTTCTTTTAGTTTTCCCAAATATACAATGTAATGATCTTTGCCTCTTCTTCCCATCAGCTACATCTGGAACCTTGGCTGGCATTATGGGAATGAGATTCTACCACTCTGGAAAGTTTATGCCTGCGGGCTTAATTGCAGGTGCCAGGTACCTTGTTCTATTTCTGCTCTTCACTGGTATAGATTTTAGTTTAATGCCCATAGTGCTTTGTACACCCTCATACTTGTTTCAGTATATTGGATGCTGAACATCAACTAAAATGATTTAATGTATACACACATATGAAAGGCTGCAAAAACAGTAGCTGATGTAATGTGGGTGAAATAAGTATATTCATTTATTCTGTAAACAGTTTTGCTCTCATATTTGCTCTCTGGTCCATCCTGGCTCCCCCCTACAGAGGAAGAAGCTTCAGTGCAAAGCATGACCACAGCTTATTCAATGTGGGTTCCACATTTCTTAGTTGTATGGGTGCCCTTTATTATTGAAAATTTTGCTTGAAGGGAATTTCTATTGAGTCCTGTTTTCTAATTAACTGATTAGAACATCCAAACCAGATTATTTTTTTAAACTGTAGCCCTTAAGCATAATAAAAAGACCCTGAAGATAGGGGGATTTTTAAAAAACTGTTTTGAGAAATAATTAATTACAAGTATGACTTTGATCCTTTGTTCATAGTTTTGATGCTGTCAAGCAAAATGTTTCATAGTCAGTGTAGACCGAAGTCAAGAGCAATAAACCAGGAGACTGCAGATCTCCCATTAGTTAGCTCTGTGACCATGGGGAGGCCTCGGTCTTTCCGGCCTCAGTTTTCTTATTTCTGAATTATTGGCAGTAGGATTAGGGGCTGCAGCTCGCATGTAACTGTTTTAAAGCTTCAGTGCAAGACTGACACTTGGCATGTTTTTTCTTTGGTGCCTCCAGGGATGGAGGTTCCATCTCTGCCTCCTCTGCCATGGTACCTGCTCATTATGCAGTGAGGGACCCACAGAGTCCTGATCCTTTAAAAAAAGTCAGGTGCCTGTTCTGTTCTTTACCTGACATTTTTTGTTTTTGTTTTTGTTTCTTAACAGTTTGCTGATGGTTGCCAAACTTGGAATTAGTTTGTTCAGTAAACCCCATTAGTCATAGTCATGTTCCAGCTTGGACTTGTGAAGAATTTGAAAACTTCCAGTACTTTTAGTATGTTCAGAGAAATAAGTACAGCATTTTTACATATGCTGACATTTTACTTAAAAAACAAAACAACTGACCTTTGCAGAGAAAAATATCGGCCATTATTATTAATACAACCCTAAAGAGATGGAGAGCATATAACATAAGAGTTTATAATTCCCTCATGTAATTTGATTCTTGTATGTTGATGTTATTTCATCTGTATTTTTACATAAAGCCTCAAGGGGTAAAATATTAAGTGTCAACACTGGGAGCCCTGAAACTCCCCACACCCTACTTAGAGGAATATTGTGAAAAAAATCTCTTAACAAGATTTGGGATATCTATTCTTTTGCTCATCTCAGAAATTATGTAAAGGAAATATCAATGGAAATAAAGTTTACTATAAATAATTTCTATGGTGTCTTTGTTGCCAGAGGTGGCTGGAACATAGAATGAGATATGAATAGTAGGAAGATAGAAGGAAGTGAAAGATTTTAAAATATTTTATTTGGGGATTACCTGTTTTGAAAAATTTAAAGACCAAGGGAAGTTATTTGTTGTACATTGCATTGAGGCTGGTTTTGAAAGTGACCTGTAGTGAGAATTTCTAAGATGAGGACTGTGTAATAAAAAGAAAAAAAGAAATTTTGGTTAACTAGTTAATCTATGAATGTGAAACTAAAAGACCTATCTGGAACTTGAATTACCTAGATGGGTCTCTGCTTTGGACACATTAATTGTATACTGACACATTTTCAGCTCACTGGATGGATTCTGGCACATTTTCACTTCACTTTGTTCTTTTCAGCATTAAGAATTAACTCATTTTGGACTCCTTTAGTTTCCCTCTCCTTAAAAAGAAAGGGATATTTGCTACTTACTTCCAACTTAACAGGAATTAGTTGGATTTAGAAAGGAGTCCTAGTTTTCTCATCTTCATTTCATATGACATGTCTGCCAGGGCCCATTCTTAAAGTATAATGCCCAGAGCTTTGCACATAGGGTGTGACCAGAGCATTGTATTCTCAACTGCATTTCTGTTAATGCAACCAGAACCTAAGTAAAATTTTTGGATCTGAGGTCCATTACAGCAATGACTTACTGAGCTTTTTGTGTACTGAGACTCCAGGTCTTTTTCTTACATATTGCTGTTAATAACTACTCATAGATAGTGAAAGGGTTAGTGTTTGATGTCACATACTTGCAAATACTTAAAAAATTGTTCCATAGTTCCTGGTATTGTCAGTGACTGACTTTTATCATATAATTATACCAAATTCATGGTTTAAATAACAGACACATTTACAAACCATTCGTTGATCTATGATTTCATGCCTTGATGAATCGCATTATGATCTAGACATGCGTCCTGTATAGTCTTAGGGACAATGTACAAAGAAAATCAAGTAAGCATAACATTTCATTATCTTTTTGATATTTAAAAAATTGATTTTTAGGGAAATATGGGAGAAATCCAACTGGTGTAGTTAGTGTTACAAAGTCGGAACACTCGCAGACGGCCCAGGTGTCCTGAGCAGCGAAGAGCTGCCTGAATAGCGTACATTCAGAGCTACACTGTGTCGTCATGCTTGTTTCCCAAAGCCCTGTTTTTGTGTGAGGGCCAGGTGGACGTGAACATCAGTTATGACTTATTATCCCCAAATGTTTGAATCATGAATTGTAAGGGCTGAGACATAGTAAAAGTTTTTTCTAAATAAAAAAATACTCATTCTGCGTTAAGTCATCAAAAAGACTTGTTTTGGGTTCTAAGCTAGCGCTTGGGTAGTTGTCATGGTTGCTAATTAAAATATTATATGTATTTAATAATCCATGTCAATATTTTATATCCTCCGTACCCAGACACATGCATGTATGTATGTGATGTGTGCATACATGTGCGTGCACACACTAATACTTGGCTGCTGACAATTAAGGGCACTTATCTGGTGATGATACAACTACAAACCATCTAAAGGTACCATCCTTCCAGGCTTCTATAGATATGACTTGGAATCACAGTGGTGGCACTGATGTTTCATCTGTCTGTAGTGTTTCCAAAGGGCATTAATTTTGGACTTCATTTCTAGGGCAGGGGCTCTTTACATTAGACAAGGCTCCCTGAAGGTGGGAATTAGTTTAGATCTAAAACAGATCACCAGTGGTCATCTCTGACTGTTCTAAGGCTGCCCACAGGTGGGTTGGCGGAGTCTTCATTGCCAGGCATCCCTGACAGCGCCCTTGCCAAGTCCTTCCTTTCTGCCTCAGCAGAGTTTCCTGAGTATTTACTGTCCTAAGTTTATGCTGGCACCTAGAAGAAAAAGAGCAAACTGTAGCTTGCCCTGATGAAATCTAGTGGAGAAGACTGACATCTAAACAAAGACAATATAGAAATAAACGCGTAACAGGTAGATATGCATTACCAGGAAGGCACACAAAAAGTAGTAGTCGTTTCTGTTCAGGGCAGCAATTTTCAACCTTTTTCGTCTCGTGGCACACAAACTAATTACTGAAGTCCTATGGCACACGAAAAAAAAGAATTCAAGTCATTTTTACGTATTACGAAGTAATAATTATTTTTTTTAAAACCATGTTTTGATTTAAAAAAAAATTCTTAGTTTTCCAGCTACACAAAAACTGGCAACAGACTGGATTTGGCTTACTGACCATAGTTTGCAAACCTTTGACCTAAGCCAAATATCTAATTGGTTTAATTATTCTGTTACGAGTTTTTGAGCATCTTTTCATGTATTAACCAGGTATACAGTTTTTTTTTCTGTGAATTGCCTTTTCCTATATTTATCCCTGTTTCTGGTTTTTGTTTTTCTTACTGGTCTGTGACTGCATAATAAAAATATTATACTTTGTTATATATATTGAAAATATTTTTGTTGATTTTTATGGTAATTTTTGTCATACAGAAATTAAAATTTTGTATAGAATCAAATTCATCACATTTTCTTTATGGCTTTCATATTTTGTGTCTTCCTTAGGAAAGCATTCTACATTTAAGAGTGTAAAATAAAATTCTAATTTTCTTTCAATACTTTTACAGCTTCACTTCTCAGCTTTTTATTTTTATTGCCTTTAGAATTTATTTTTGTGGGAATGGTGCAAATTAGAGGTATGACTGCTTTTCTTCCAAAAAAAAAAACAAAAAAACCCCCAAAATGTCCACTGCCCTTAGTATTGTTTGTTGAATGGTGTATCCTTTGTTCATTGCTTTGGAATGTCACCTTAACCATGTACTGAAGTTCCATATTTGGGACTCATTCTGAGTTTTCTAGTCTATTCCATAGATCTACTTATCTCCTGTTTCAGTGCCAAATTGTATTTGTCAATGTAAAGTAGTATTTTTATATTTGGTAGGGCAAGTGCATCATTGTTACTTTTCAGATTTTTGTTTACATACTTCTCTAGGTAAATATAAAAATAGGCCCTTTATTTTTAATTTTACATGAGATTTTGATTATAGGTAAATTTGGGATGAATTCGGTTTTAAAATATTCTTCAATCCAGGAAAATTATATGTCCCTTCATTTAATTGGTTTTTTTCCTTTACTATCTTAAAGCAGTATTTTAGAGCTTTTTTCACTTAGTTCTTTGCATTTCTGTTAAAATTGTTTTAGGATATTATATAGTTTTGTTGTTATGAATGGGAACTTTTTCACATATAAATTAGGTATTAGTCTGAATAAAACGAATTTCTGTCATTCATGTAAATGTTCCTATTGATTCACTCGAGCGTAGTAATTGCCATAGGTTTTTGCACCTACCCTTTATCTAGTTCTATGGCTTTATGTTAAAATTAGAAATAATAAGCTGCTGTTGTCACTGACAAGATTCAGCATTGTTCTAGAGACACTAGGCAAAGCAATACAACAGAAACAAATGAGGTATAAATTAATAGTGCAAAGGAAAGAAACATTTAAAGTATTAATATAATTGTCTATCTAGGAAATCCAAGAAAAGCAACTAAAAACCTATTAGAACTAATGACAAAGTTCTATAAAGCAGCAAGAAAGATGAACAACACCAGAAACTTAATAGCCTTCTATCAACCGACAGAATCAGTTCTCTTCCATACCATTTCTCATACTCAAGTCCAAGTGTCATCGTCTTTTAATCTTCTAATTGGACTCCTTGTTTTCATGCTTTGACACAATAATTCATTCTCTACCCAGCAGGCACAGGCATATTTCAAGTATAATTAGATTCCTAGACTTAGAATCATTCAATTATTTCTTACTACATTTAGATCCCTCCTTTAGCCTTTTACACCCTATTCTTTCTTTCAATAACACTCATCATAATTTGCAAATACAGTTGACAGTTGAATACAGGTTTGAATTACACAGGTCCACTGTACGTGAATTTTTTTCAATAAGTATAGTAGCTCTCCGTATCCCAGGTTTTGCACCTGTGGATTCAGCCAACCACAGATTGGAAGGAGTATTTTCGATCTGTGGATTGGAAGTTCACATATGCAGAAGACCAACTGCATGCTTTCTTGTACGCCATTTTATACAAGGGACTTGAGCATCCATGGATTTCAGTATCAGTGGAGGGTCCTGGAACCAATGCCCCATGGATACTTAGGGATGACTACACAATTTTTCTGAGTTTGTTTAGTGTCTGCCTCCAGAATGTATGTTCTGTGAGGTCAGGGGAAATAACTGTTTTGTTATTAACATGAATACCACATTCAGTATATAATAGTCATTTAGTAAATATTTGCTGAATAGAGAAATTATTCAAATCTACTTTTAAAAAATCAATTTATTTTTTAGAAGTTTTGAGAATACAGTTTCCAATACCCTAAACCCAGTTTCCACTATTAGTAACATTTTTCAATAGCATGACACCTTGTTACAACTAATTAACCAACATTGATAAATCATTCACTAAAGTACATACTTCATTCAGATTTCCTTACTTTTTAACTAATAGCTCACTCTGTTCTAGGATCTCATCTAGGATACCACATTACATTTCGTTGTCATGTCTCCTTAAGCTCCTCTTGGCTGTGACTATTTTATACATTGTTTTTGATGACTGACAGCTTTTAGGAATACTGATTTTGTAGAATGGACTTACATTGGACTTTGTCTAGTGTTTTTCTTATGGTAAGTCTGGGGTTGCAAGTTTTTAGAAGGAAGACCACAGAGGTAAATGCCATTTTCATCACATCATGTTAAGGTTACATGTAACAACATATTAGTGTTGATTTTGACCTTAATCATCTAGATGAGGTATATACTGTTCATCAGGCTTCTCCACTTGGGAGTTATTCCTTTTTTCCCTTTCCCATATTGTATTCTTTGAAAGGAAGTCATTGTACACATTTAACACTTAAGGAACAGGAAGTTCTGCTCTACCTCCTGGAGGGCAGAGTAGCTACATAAATTCATTC